GGGGTCCAGAGTTGTGTTCCAATCTCCTGTGATGACTACCGGTTGCGGGTTGGGGATAAGGGTACTGATGTCCTAAAAAAAGGTCAGTCTTTTGGATTCCGTATTAGGTGCATATATGTTAAGAATTTTCAGGTCTTCTTTTTGCCATCTAATGTCTATCCAAGACCATCTCCCTTCCTTGTTGCCGCCCTCACTATTCAGAATCCGTCCCTCTGTCAGAATCTTGATGTTCTAGGGATGAGTATTGCCATCCCTTTTTTGCTTTGATCTTCTTTATTGGACCATAAATCAAATGCGTATCCCCCTACTGCTCTCTCCACCCTCTGCTGTATCTTGGTGTGACTATTCAGATTGGACAGATGGGTCTCTTGGAGGAGAAACAGATCAGGTTTGGGCAGATCTTTCCCCACCAGGCCGATCTGAATATCTTTCAGTTTGTCTTCTTCGGTTGGGATGTTTCCTTGGCTGTTGACATTCCAACTTATTATCTGGAGCCTCTTAGCGTGTCAGTTGATCCTTGGTGGGTTGTCTTGCCCATTTCTTGTTCTTGCTAGGACAGACATTGACATGTACCTCGTCGTTGTTGTTTTTTTTTCCCCTTCCTTGGTTGTCTCTTTTACTTAGGTACCGCCTGTGTGGATTGTTGTGTTGATTGGGTTTTATTAGTCATTGAGGTGAGTTATTCAGTCCACTGCCGCCTCGGTCTTGCTTCTCTCGGTGTCCAAGTCCCTGCTGTCCTACTTTTCTGCTGCGGAGCCCAGGTTGTATTCCCCTGCGCTGCTCTCTGCCGATGGTTGTGGTCCTTCGTTGTCTCCTCTTGGGGAGAACTTGTCGCCCAAGATCAGATCCTCTCCTTCTTCGCTCTCCATGTCTTCTTCTTCAACCCCCATATCCACCTCAATGGGGGTGGCCTCGTCTTCCATTGAGGTCTTTCAGGTCAAGAGGTGAGTTCTGATGATATCAACCCGGGAATCCGCGATGATGTCTGTCGTGCTGGACCTTCTGTTCAGCACGTTGAATGGGAGCATTGTGATAGTGTTCCACACCCTCCAAGTCAGGCCTTCACTGAGTTTTGCTTCTTCCTCTAGCTTGACCAGTATGGGGTCGAAGGGGGTAAGGATCGGCTCTTCCGGAATCTTCCCCTCAGATGTCAGCTCTCATGGCGGGATCCCGTACACCTCCAGCGGGATTTCTGCTGAGATGTTGTCCCTGATGCTCTTTGCCAGGGCTCTATCGTCGTCGAGGGTGGGGATTGTGAAGGATGGGTGGGTGGCCACCTGCCACTCGTTAAACTTGCTTCTGAATCGGACAGGGATCAACGGCCTCACTGCCCTGATGGTCTCCCTATCAGTACTTGCTGATTTGGTGACGTTGGGGGCCTTGTTTTCTGCTATCATTTGGACTGTGATGAATTTTTCTCTTTGTTCTTTTTTGTAGTCCTGGTTCGGGTCGAACAACCGTTTCGTCTGAGTTGCCACTATTGCGATCTCCTGCGTGAGTCGGTGCTGTTCGTTCTTGCTGCCTGCTTCGTCTCTAGGGGTTCCCCTTGACCTCTTGTCCCTTCCTTTAGATGGTTTCCAATTCTTGGAGACCATGTCGTGGATAGAGTCTTTGGGGATCGAAGCCCGTGTCATTGTCCGTTCCTGCCGACTCTCTTCCTCTCTTTTTTTCGTAATATCTAAATGCGCTAAACTTCGAGAGTTCGGAGTTTTGACGCAGCAGGTCGTAAAATTCTTGGAGGAGGGGATCCGTGCCATTGTTTTACCGGTGGCCGGCTTCCCTGTTTTCTCCAAGTGTTTCATACAGGCCAGCCTGACGTCGAACTCCTTTTCCCTTTCATACTTCACTCTCTGCAGCTACTCCTCGAGCCATGGAATGGGGTGCCTGGCGAGATGTCCATCCCTGTGCGGGAGTGTGCTGGGGAGTTCGGGTCTACCCCAGGGGAGGCGTCATCTGTGGGGGGCTGTTTAGATTTGAGAATTGTACTTGCTCCTTCCTCAGTCCTTCTTCTCTTCTTCCCTGCTTTATCCTCTTGGATTCCTTTGGAGGGAGGGCAGGCATTCTGCTTGAGAGCTGGAGCGATCTCTGGCTTGGGATGGCGGTGCTCTAAGATCTGCTTTAATTCCTGTAGCAAGGTGTTGTTGTCCAGGTCAGTGTTCTGACAGGTTTCTGCTGTCTGGATCCTGATTGTCTCCATGTCCCACGACATGTCCTCATGCTTCTTTTCTTCCCTGATTGCTCGTGGGTCGATTACTGGGTTTGTGTGGATTTTCCCTGGTATCCCTGTTACCTTCTTTGCTCTCACTGCATGCCATCTGCTATCTGAGGGAGGGAATACATCTGGTTGTTTTGTTGCCAGGCTCGAATTGTACGTCCAGATCCACCTCGGATCCTCGATGGTGTCATCAAAGACCCATCCATTGTCGTCTTGGTCATTGATGAACCATATGCCTTTTGCTTCTTCCACTTCCACCAACATGCTCTGTTTCAATTTTTTTGTCTTTCGAGTGTTCAGGAGAGCGCGGACAGGCTGGGTCAGTGCCCAGGTGGCCTCTCTCGCTGCACCTGAAGCAGATGGGGGCGTCTTTCGTTGAGACTGTGACTACGGATGCCTCATCCCCGATGCAAAATTCCCATTCTTCTGGGAATGCGGTGTTCATCTCAGAGTTTACTTCCAAGACTGCAGTGATGGAGTCCCAACGTGAAGCCAGGAATTCTGGTGTTGCGTGGACCCATTTCAGCACTTTGTTGTTTGGGTATTCCACCTACAGTTGGTCTTTGATCAGTGGATGACCTTTGATGGGGATGTTATCGAACTGGACCCAAAATTGGTCCCTCATGAGTCGCTGTTTCTGTGCTGCTGCCGGGGAAATGGCGGCTTTCTGGGCCGTTTCCAGTTTCCAGAGGGACAAGGTGCATACTGAACCATTGCAGTTCAGTGTGCTGTGTCTGCTGATCAGGTTGGATGCCTGGTCAGGGTCCTTGAAGACCATCATAATGTTCTTGCTCAGTACCAAAATCGGGAATTTGTCAGTGCTGGTCTTGAGGTTTTCGTGTCCCTGAACTGTCCTTGTTAGCCATTTGCGTTTTTCGATTGTTGGAAGGTGGGCACCTGTGTTGGAGAAAGTGAATACTAGCCCGTGTTTTGCGTACATGACATTGGTTGACTTGATTTTTTTCCTTCGGATAGCACCAAACTGTGATTTCCTTTTCTTCCCCATTTTGTTGAACCTTTTTTGTCTTTTTTTCCTCCTTTGATTTGTGGTGATTCCAGCAGGAATCGGAGGGTCTCATGGTCGAAGAGTGGTCCGTTCGACTGTTGATTCTTGCCAGCGTTTTGGGATTTGGCTGCTACAACCAGACACCAGACCGTCTGGCTGCCCGTCCGCATGGTAGCGATGGTGAGCATGTACTAATTACTTGTTTTTCAGTTTGCTCGAGTATGCTGCTTCGCGCAGCTAGCCTACGTGGCAAATTTTGTTCTTCCTATCTCGTCTTATACCCTTTCTTGATTGTATTGTWTTTT